ATTACAAAAAAATGAACAAAATGAAAAATTATGATTGGTTGAATGCGTTTTGCACGGTTTGTACAAATTGAGTGGTTTGCATTTGATCGCTCCCCTATATATATATATATATATATATATTGTTGTTACTTATCCGAAACTGCAAACTCCCTAAACGTTGAACTAATTACTTGCATCTGTTAAGAGTAGATCATGTTGAATGCAACAAAGTAAGGGTGTTAAGTAAAGACTCATGTTATAAGCCGTTATAGTCTAGAGTATTTACGTTATGTTGATCTTTATTGTTTAATTTAACTCGTCAAATTTAAACTTAACTTGCTTTTCATACATCCTATAAGATAAAATGATCTAGTTCTAAGTTTGTGGTCATGATTCTTAAAAGAGTAAGATGTGATGACTATACTTAATATGTTATGTACAAAATATTTAGTGAATGTTTCAGAAGAAAAAGAAATTAGGTCATCATTTTTTTAATTTAAATTTATTTTTTTACTAATTACTTGTTAATTGTAATCTAATTTTGGTGTACAAGGTTTTTTTTTCTTTTGTCGCTATTAAGCTCGACTCATTATTACATGTTTTTATTGATTATATGTGAAATAAGAAAACATATATTTTTAACGAAAAAGTATCATTATAACTTAAAGTCTGAATGCACTTGTATATGCATGAAAATTGATCCATTTTTCTAGAACTGGAAAAAAAAGACCTTGTAATTTACACAATTCAATTGAAACAAGATTACTTGATCTACGATTTTCAGTGAATTCAATCCAAACTGAACCGAATGTTTTATTGGTAGTATGAGATAGATCAATTCTTTAAGATTAGATTAATTAAAAAAAATATTTAGGGGCTATTTTGACAGTTGCTAAATGGTTGATGCATAATGATTAAGAGACTCTTATAATATAGTAGAAATAAAAATACAATTGTTTGGTAATTATTCAGAATAAAATTAGGGTGCTGAATGATTAAGAAAGAATCAAGATATAAAATCATTTAGATGGTTTCAGAACTGTTAAGAGACAAGATATTTGTTTTCCAAACAAGAATGACCTCTTAACAACTCAGAGGTCATCTCTTAATGGAACTATTAAGAGGTAAATAAACAACCTTCTTGCCTAAGAAATTATTGTTTTATGTTATATATATATATATATATATATATATAGATATAGATAGATATAGATAGATAGATAGAGATAGATAGATAGAGAGGGGGAGGTCTGGAGAAGACTAACAAAAGAAAGAAAGCATCAAGGTGATGAGAAAAACAAATTTATTTAAAGCTAAAGTGTTCCCTACCCCGTTTGCTTTTTCTCATCTTCTCTTTTTGTTCTCCTATCAAAAACCCCCAAACAGCACCCCCTTCATTCCCTCCCTCCCTCTCTCTCTCCCTCTCTTTCTTCGGGGTCATATCTGCCTCCAGATCTTCTTCTTCCTCTAAGGTCTCTCTCTCTCCTCTCTCTCTCTCTCTATATATATATATATACATACATACATATATATATATATACATGTACGTATGTATGAGTCTACTGTTAAAATGCTTGATGACTAATAAATATCAACTTCATGCTTGTGCAGTGTTTGTGCGTCTCAAGGCTGGTCTCCCTTGTGTATCTTCATCTTTCGGGGGACAACAATAAAAGCTATATATACCTAGCTGAGACGGTCCGGTCGGGAAGATCAAGGTTACAAGATTCGAAGAGCGATATATCATCGACATATATATAAATATATACATTGATGGCACCCGTTTCATTGCCTCCAGGCTTCCGTTTTCATCCCACCGATGAAGAGCTTGTCGCTTACTATCTCAAGAGGAAAATCAATGGGCGTAAAATCGAACTGGAAGTTATCCCTGAAGTTGATCTCTACAAGTGCGAACCCTGGGATTTACCAGGTATATGCATGTCTTCATGGTGGTGCCCCGATTGCAATTTTCCTTTTTAATTACTTCAACCGAAATTAAAACAATATTTCATTCTAATGGAATTTTAGGTTGCTTTGTGGTTTATGCAAGTATCACAAATATTCTAAAACTATAATATATATTTTAAATTTGGAAGTTATCGAAGTATTCATTAACAAAAACCATGTAATGATTATTTATAAATAATTTTAAATAATTTTTTGACATATCTCAACATAGCTTCACATGTATATATATATCGTATTCTTACCAATGACTTATTTAAAAAAATATTTTTAGGGTTTAAATATATAATTCATTTAGCAATTTTTGTCACATTTAATTTGTTTTTCAAATAAAATTAAAGAAAAAAGCATACAATATAAAGCAATTTAGGCATGAGCATGAACAGTTTATGTGCAAGGGAAGTGACTAAATCAAGATTCTCCCAAAGGGTCTTTCATTTATATTCTTTCGATTTCATCCCTTTAGTTCGTTGCTAAAGGCAAAAAATGAAGCTTCTTTGATGTTCTTTTGTGCTTCGACTTTGTTCTTGGTAAGCTTCAAAATAAATTATGTATTTTGATTTTGTTTCAAAGTTTTATGAGATATAAATGCGTTTAACGTATACAAACTACATGTATTTATGTCTTTTTCAGATGCATACAAGACCAGTCAAACGCGACTGGAACTTTTAAGATAAAAAACTGAGCGTAAGATCATCATAATGATTGTTTCTAAACGAGAAAAAGTTGATATTTAAAGGGAATTAAGGTGGCCCCTACATCTTTTAAACTCGTATAAGAACAAAATTTTAGTAATTAGCTGACAAGATTGAAGTCAAAAAGCGAATTAAAGAGGAAAGAACTTGACTACGCTTACCGATTCTTTCAAACATAGATATGATTACCAGCTTTTCTTTTCTTTGTTAATTTCCTGACACCAAATCTAAATCCTGAAATATTTTTCATTTCTACAAATAACCCTGTTCATCCTGCCTTACCAATTTTCCATACAAAAATTCATATCATTTCTGTTAGGATCAGTGTTTTAGGAAACGAAAGAACGAAACCAAAGAAATCATGACGCAATTAGTCTTTTTTTTTTTTATGATGTTTTTCCGGATCTTGAAATGATTTATTGGTTTGTAATATTCGTTTTCATCTTCAGGGAAGTCGCTATTGCCAAGCAAAGATCTAGAGTGGTACTTCTTTAGTCCCAGAGATCGTAAATACCCAAATGGATCAAGGACAAACCGAGCGACCAAAGGTGGGTATTGGAAGGCAACGGGAAAGGACAGGAATGTGAACTCCCAATCACGAGCAGTGGGAATGAAGAAAACCCTAGTTTACTACAGAGGGAGAGCACCACATGGTGCTCGTAGCGATTGGGTCATGCACGAGTACCGCCTTGATGAGAGAGAATGTGAAAGTGAATCTGGCCTCAAGGTATAACTTACTTGGTGATCGATGATTGATTAACGTATCCATCAAATTTCATCACAAAAATAACACCAACTATACTTCTTTTTTGGGGTTTAAAAGTTGCAGGATGCTTATTCGCTTTGCCGGGTGTTTAAGAAGAGTTTGAATGCTCCAAAGACGACAGTCGGGGTACATTATGCTGCAACTGCCAGTGATCACTCATCAAGTATGGACCTTTATTCAGAGGGGGGAAGAGGTGGTGAAGATATCGAGACTTGTAATTATCCAACACCAATAGCTTCATCTTCATCTAATATCAACCATGGATCTCCACATAATTTGAGTGAAACAAGTGATGGCAGATGGATGCAGTACTTATCAGAAGAAGCATTCGCTTTCCCAAATCCATCATTCGTGAACTACGGGAATGTCACTTATCCCCCATCCAAGGTACAAACAGATTCATAATTCATGATTCATCCATGCACACACACGTTTTCTATTCTTCGTTTGTTCTCGTAAACCCAGTTGAAAACAAAGCTTGACATGCGTGTTATGATTTTCTTGATTTCTTTTTATTACTAACTGGTTTCTAAAATCTAAACCTATGAATTTCGGATTATAGAGCCGATGGTCACGGGTCTTTATCCTTATCTTCTTAAAAAGCTAGGGATCTATTTTTTGTTAATTTAATCTGTATAAGGGTAAGTTCAATATCTGCACCAATATTTGTAAATTACACTCCTTTTTTGCCCATGCAAGCATACCAATTTACAATTTTCCAATATTTTCTCAGGTTGATATAGCATTAGAATGTGCAAGGCTGCAACAAAGGTTGTCAATGCCTCCATTGCAGGTACAAGACCTCCCACAGCAGGGAGCTACTAGCTATGTGGATTTGATGAATATTCCCCAGACAAGCAGCAGCATGCGAGAAATGGCAACTGCAAACGGCCCTCAGCAGGACATATTGCAGGAAATCCTTTCGGTTGCACAAGTTTCTCAGGATCTCATCAATCAGAACACTTGGGGTGGAGGTTATTCCGGTCATCATGAAGATGATTTCTCGTTTCTGGCTAACAATAACAGCAACAATCAAATGCAAGATATGGACACCTTTAGGTTCATGGGTGATGAACAGAATATGAGGTCCATTGAAGTTGGTGGTGTCAATGAGCAGCTCGGAACTGATAGAATGGTTGAAAATTTGAGATGGGTTGGCATGTCTAACAAAGACCATGAGATGGTATAGTCATGATCATTATTTTCACTTGTTCATTTCAATTGTTTAATAAAATAAGCAAGGATATTAACACCGTCAATATGTTATCTAAAGGAGTTCCAACATGAACCTAATAATCATGGCTTCAAGACTCGATGCAAACAGAAAATCTGTATTTTCTATGTTTAAACCCTTCATGGCTTCATAGTCTTTGGAAGAGAGTTTTACTGCTTCTAGAGATCTATTGTATATGCTTTCAGAAATTTTAAATTTATATTAATTTTCTTGACATCTACAGACTTTTTGGGACGATTACAAGACTGTTCCAGTTGAAAGTGTACCAAGTTTTCAGAGGGAGGAGAATGAGGTTCAAGGTACAAATCACTAAGCCTCAGTTACCAACCTAAGAAGCTATGGCATGCACATCATCATTCTCGTAGCTAGACCCCATTTCACTAACTACATGACAAACGGTTGCAGGAGAAAGCAGCCATCACAACAACTTCGAAAGCACAGAAGATCACTTCTCACTTGGATTCACCACCGAAGATAACAACAACTCAAACGACAACTTCTTAGATGAAGGCGATTTGGACGACTTTACAACAACTCCAAGCTTTGAAATTTACGAGAAAACAAAAGTCAGTCACGGGTTGATTGTTTCGACCCGACAGGTTTCAGAAACCTTCTTTCACCAAATCGTGCCTTCCCAAACGGTCAAGGTCCAACTGAACCCGGGAATGATACATGATCAGACAGTAGCGAAACCAGACGGCCAGACAAGGCTTAACAAGAAAGTTTTATATGATAAGTTCAAAATATATGCGGATTCTAAGCCATTGGAGGGGACAACCAAGAAAACAATGAGCCCTTTTGTCAACTTAGTTTCCCTTCTGTTGATATGTTGCTTTTATCTTGAAGAATCAACAGAAGAGGACGGTGATATGAAGTTCAAATATGAAGTTGGTTCACCAGCTGGGAACAACAACGAAATGAGGGATCATGAAGAGGAGGAAAAGAATGAAGGATGGAGCATTTCAAGTGTGGTTTTGGAGAAGGTGATATGGCCATGCGTGACCTTGGCTTTGGCATTTTCAACCATCTGGGTACATCATAATTACTAATTATAAGGTTTTTTTTTTTTTTTAATTAATTGTTTCTAACCAACATACGGAGTGAAGTTGTTTACTATAGAAAAGATAAAACTAAACTTTCCCTGGATTTAATCTGGGGTTCAGTATTAATATTTGTATTTTTCTTCAATTTACAATTAATCATACAAGGGGTGTGATTATAATTGATTCAGTGTGATCATCAAGAAAGAAAAAAACTCTGAAAAACCATCCAAAAGAATGAAATTTTCTTCACGGGTTCATTAATTCACTTCTATTAATTCATTTTCTTCACGATATTCGAAATCATGACCTCTGCTAATTATGAGGATCGATCATTCCTTTTATTTTTGAATTTCTTATTTGACGACTACTTAACCTTTTGTTTTGCTAATTATGAAGATCGATTATTATTAAATCTTTTCATCTCATCGAATTCAACTATATATTTATAATTCATTGTGTGTTAATAATATTTTATTATTTTATAATTACAATCAGTTAAAAGATTCGATTCACATATTACATAATCATAGTATTTATGGTTCACATGTATATATACAATTAATATTATCTAACTCTAATTTTTTTGTTCTCCACATGCCATATGTAATCATTTCTCACTCTACAAATAGCTCTATTTTGGACTATTTTCTTAGTGCCAACCATGGTATCTTAATATGATTCACGTGTATTAGATCTACTTAGATTCATGCTCTTCAATCCAAGCATAGTGGATCATACTAGTGATAACCTTGTCTTTTGAGCCAATTCTAAAAGGACATGAACCTTTATCCCACTCGATATAGAGCTCAAAATGGGAATATCTTCCCACCTTTGACAATTTCATGTGGTTGAAGTTATCTCCTCATGCATAACACCCAAAATAGGGAGAATTGTAAAACAAAATCCAGGTGAGAGACTAATGTCACAAAGAATGGAAAGAAACAAGTTCAAAGGCTGAAATGACATTAACTGAAAGACGCAGACTTTGCGAGCATTTATTCAAACATGTCTGAAAAGAGACATGAGGATATGGAGGCTTGAAATCAGGAGGGGGGATATAATCCATGTATAGCTATCATTATTGTTGTAGTCATTAAGCCAAATTCAAACAATTATTCTCTTTAGATCTATAAGCATCAGAGATGTAACACTGGTATTTTATTTAAAGTTATTTCAGGAGTTAGATATTGGTTTTGATATTTCTTTTGGGAAAAATAATGTCCAGTTGCGAATTTTTGGTCTTAGAATGTTTTCGGTTGAAGTGGAATCAAAATCAGTTGAAATAGGACCCTTTGGGGTCTAGGTGACTTTTTGGGCAGCTTAAAACGCAGGAAAACTCGCTCAAGCCTCTGGATCGCAAAACGGTTGGGGACTGGCCTACCTGCCTAAAGTGATAGTCAGAACGACTTTTGGTGCGACTTAAGTAGCCTTGCACGCCTGATCAGTATTAAAACCTGTTTTGTAGGGTTTTGCCCTCATTTTATTCTCATACACTCTTCGCCCTTCATTCCTCTCCAATTTGGCTGATTTTGGGAACATTTGGTCTCATTTAGAGCACCTTAGAGAAGATTGAGCTTAAGGATCTCAAAGAATGTAGTTTGAAACTTTCAATTTCTTGAGGAGGTAATGTTTTTAGGTGTTTTACATCTACATTAGGTTTTGTTGTGATCTAATGTGGTTGATTTTGATGCATCTCTACACTAAGGCAATTTCAAAGAAAATCATACTAATCAGACTTAGTAAGATTTTGATTGGTAAGATTTTTACTAAGTCAGACTCTTCATAAATTCTAAAAACCTAGAGCGGTGCCCTAAACCTCGCTCGCTGACCGGTCAGTGGGACCATCGCCTAGGGGAGCTGCTCCTCGAACCCCGCAAGGTAGGGATGACAAAAAAACTGAAACTGATGGTGAAAATCGAAACTTTCGGGCCAGGTTCGGGGACATCTTATCGGGGACGGGGAGGGGATCGGGGACGAATTTCGGGATTTTAGCGGGGACGGGGGCAGGGACGTTGATCACCGGCCCGGCCTGGCCTGATATGTATATATATATATTAATTTTAATTTATATACATATATATATACATATATATATATATAGTATCATTAAAAGAAAATAGTAACATTAAAATTTAAAAGATTTTTATCTACTTCACCTCAACAATTCAAATAAAGCTCACGAAAAAATCTAGTTTATTTGTATAAAATCGTGATTTTAGTTGTATGATGTTTGAATTTCTGTTTAATTTTACATTGTAAGTGGTTCGATTATGTTTGAAACATTTAAACTTACATCTTTAAAAAATTGTAATTTACTTTTAATTGTGAAAATTAGCATATTGTATTTTTTTCCAGATCGGTTTCGGGTTTCAGTTTCAGGTTCTGGTTCGGGTTCGGTTATAACTAACGGTGAAAAAGAGGATTACCCTTAACGGGTTCCCCAACGGGGATTGGGGGGTTACGTGGACGGTTTTAGCTATCGGTTTCGGGGACGGAGATACCAATATCCAGCCCGTTGCCATTCCTACCGCAAGGGGGCGCAAACCCCCTTGACCTATGTCTTATGGCGATCTAAGGAGATAGGGGAAATATTTGTTTGTCTGCTCTCCGCACCTCCTAACTCACTTATATTTGTCTCATCATCTTAATCGATCTCGAATTAATCACAATCACATTTTAGATGATGACTAAAATGAATAATGGAGAAACAAATCGGCAAAATGATTTACCATGGTGGGACTCATTAGAGTATAACTCCTTTCAAATGTTCCATGTATTTAATTACCCACATTTTTCAAATGCACACACTTACATATCAAGTTCTTTAATAATTCTTCAAGCAAGCCCTTGAGGTTTGATTTAGTACCAACTAGTCCCTCAATCTTGATTATCAATGGACTACATAATTGGTCTTAGACTTTGCATTAGGGGGGATGTGGTGCTCAAGGTCTGATCTCTGATCCCATTGATTCAAACTTATAATTTCAAAGAAAATCATACTAATCAGACTTATACTTGGTAAGATTTTCACTAAGTTCGACTCTTAATAAATTCCAAAAACCTAGAGCATTGCCTCGAACCCCGCCTGTTGACCAGTCAGTGAGACCACTGCCTAGGGGCGTTGCCCCTCGAACTCAAATTCTTCCAATAATAAGTTTGAGACATCTCATATTCAAATCCAAAATACATTATAAAGAGTAGGAGGAGATGCAAGATATTTGTTTCAGAGAACGTGAAAGAGAAAGAGAATATGAGAAGTAAAAACAAACAAAACATGAAGACAAACCCATAACTTATAAAAAACCATTTGACAGATCACGGGCCTAACCGATCACCCACTTCCCATTGCCTCCACTCAGCTTTGTCATAAAATCACCCATCCCCACACTACAACTTAACCCCACCATGAAAAGGAACACTTGATAGTTTTGTTGGCATCCCATAGATTCCAAAGTCTGCAACCCCTTTCCCAACTTCTATACATCACATTTTATTCACATCTATCTTTTTGTGAAGACATCGACTTCTAACTACACTATGTTATTATATACTGTGGTTTTACTGTCGGCATTGGGAGGTCTTTTGCTGCTTGCAATTGGTGGTGGAGGATCGGTGGAGGCTGCTGCCGTCAAAGTGGGTAACATTTCGAAAGTGGAAGATGCTTCTTACTTCCACATATATTATGGCAATACCTTCAAAGTCATCAAGAACGGACTCGATGGCAAGAGCTATCTTCTCATCCAGGTAACTACCAACATCATATATTCTTCGTTCATCCATCAAAAAAGCGAATATATGACTGTTATTATCATTCGTCTCACTGACATGATATACCAAATTATTTAAATGTCCAAGTGTTTCCATCGATCCATGGTCGAAAGAGATCGTTAGTGTTTCCTATATTTGGAGTCGATCTGATTGGTTTATTATATAAAGTTGATTAGCATTCACTCAGTTCGTTGTAGTAGTATATTTGTGTATACCCTTATAACGCCGGCCTCATCATACCAAAAGATTTTTGACAATTAGACTGTGCACAGTAATTAAAATAATATTTTAAGACATGTATTTTAAGTAGTATATATTTAAAACGTTTACCATGCATATTTTATTTTGTAATTGGTTATTATTTATATATTTTTTTTCAATTGATATATATATAATCGTGTTTATTATAGGGATATATGTTGTTGTCATTTGGATGATATATATAGTTTAGTTGTATACGTGCCCAACTTTGTCGGGTACTTCATCACGGGTCTTAGAAGTTTGAATCACCTCTAAAAGATGTCTAACAAAAGTCACGGGGTCACGGGAGTTGCTCAATTCATGGACTTTTTTTCACAAAAATGTTAATAAAGATTCATTAATGGGCCATAAAAATTTGTGTTTTCTATCTACTGATCGAGCAATTCATAAACATTTTACTTTTTCTTTCATTAAGTCATATATATGAATTAAGTTGCTTTTCTAGATATATTTGTTTGTTTGAGAGATAAAAGACCGATGGGTTTGATGTTGAGGGACAGGGCCGTCCCTGGGGGAGGGCGACACAGGCGCACGCCTAGGGCCCAAAAACATCAGAGACCCAAAAATTTTCTTTTAAATACAATAGTAGTCTAAAATAATTTAATAAATTAAAAAAAAAAACCCAAAAAATTGTAGTATACAATAAGGGGCAAAAAGAATTAGAAAAAATTAATTGTCATTCATTATATGTTATTGTTTATTATTGACTCTCTATTTTTTTTTATCTCTAAAAAGGTCTAATGATATTGGCTATTGCTATCTCTATATGTTTGACCGTTTTCGTGCTTCAACTATTCAACGTTAAGATCATGTGTTTGTTATTGCTATATATTTTTATCAATTTCTGTTCCTATTGACTATTGCTATTTGGTTATGTTGTTCTAATTGTTTTTGTTGACTATTGTTATCTATTTTTGTTTCTACATAAAATATTTTATTATTGTTTGRCAATCAATTTATTGTTCTTATARTTTATGRTATGTTTCATGGTTTTATGATTAATAAATAAATTTTTTCTACTAATGTCTCTTATAATGTCATGTTTCATAAACTTTTAATCTTAACATCTTATTTTGGTTGAGCAAAAAAAGAAGAAAAATAAAATTTAAATATTTCCATCAACTGTTTGACTTATGTATCTTTCATTGAGATCCACCACACAACAAGCTTCTATATAAGTGCTCAAACAATCTTTTGTTGAGCTTACATGTTATATGTTTAATTCATTATTTATTCTTATTGAATCTCAATGGATCATTTTTTCTTTCATATTCTTATTGATCCTCATTTGTCTACTTGTCTAGAAAACCTTGATAATCTTCTTTATTATTGATCTCTCATTGACCCTCACGATTACCTCGTTCACACGAATTCTCTTTTTGAATCAAAATAACACATATTTCTTGTTATAAACTAAAAAATTCTTACTTTTTATAAAAAAAAATTATCAACATAGTTTCTATACTCTTGGTTTCAAATTACCTAATAAGAAGTATGTAAATTTAAGTACTCTTATATATATATATATAAGAGTATATATATATATATATATATATATATGATAAAGATAAATAAGATTTCTTTCCTCGGTAAATTATTAACATTTCTTGTACTCAATTTTATACTAATGGAAAACATTTATTGAATTTTTTTTCGTACTTACCGAGGGTCACTACAAAAAAAGTAAGCATTGACGATTCACTTTTTAGCGACATGTTTCCGCCACAAATTATAGCGACGACATGTTATTATATACTTTTTCTAATGATAAATGGACTTTTAGCGATGACAAAAGTCGTTGCTAAAAGCCTTGTTTCTTGTCGTGGGCCTTGCTCATACGTTCGCCCAGGGCCTAAAAAAATGTCAGGAACGGGCCTGTTGAGGGAGGCAAACAGATCAAGAGGATTGGATTATTTATGTGGGCATTTCTATATTAATTGTTTAAGGTAGTTTAATAGGGACATGAGGGGTTTTGGCTTATTTCATTTTGTCATTTTGGCTTAATGGTATAACAATTAAGTCGTAAAGAAACAATAATGTATGACTAATAAAAGAATAAGCTACCCTAACCTTTAAGCTTATTATTAAGTTGTAAGTAAACGGCCTAAATTTTATGATTAATGATTATCTAAATTACGAGTTTTGTTTAGATTAAAAAACTTTGCTTGATTGTTTGATGTAAAATGAGAATTTGTTAAGTCATTTTTGAGTTTGATGAATTTACTTATTTATACATTAATAACAATAACTATGATTTGTATTTTTTTTAAATTCCATTTTGTCTGATTGAATATCATATAATTTAAATACAGAATGTAAAAACCCTAACAACAACCACCAGATTCAAGTATGATGGGGGGAACAACTTTCCGACGGATTTTGTCGTCGAAAAAACCGCCGCTGCTAAATGCAATTTCTGATGGATTTGTATTTTCTAACGAAAAAATCCGCCATAAATTCGTCGAACAATTTTATAATATGTTGTCCTTTTTCCGTATTAATTAGAAGGTATAATGATGCAGAATAACACAAAAATGGCAGCAAAGACCAAGTATTGCACATCAAGAATCAAATCATTTGTTATCCCGTTATCAAATTACTCATTGGATGCCAATTATTTCCCAGGTACACTTAAATTCATCATATTCCTTTTCATTATTATTTATGGTGTAAATTTCGTACAATACATACTTTATAATATTTTGAACATGCATTCTACATATTTAAATTAGTAAAAAAAACATTGTTTAGATTATTTATAACTACTGATAATTGATAATTAAGACTGTTTATTTAACGTAATTTTCTTCAAAATTTATGCAGTTTCCTTCTTCGAGGTGAGATTATGCGTTTGTCTGTAAGTCAAATTATCATTCTCGGTATACAAATATAATTTGCCATTCATTCGTTGCCTTTTTTATTGTGATTTAAATTCAAATTTTATAGACATTAAAAACCAGCCTTAGAACAAAACATTTCGGTTAATAGGTAATTCACATTTTATATGAAAATTACAACAACTTATGTTGGAATAACCCATCGCATTTGTACAACCAATGCAACCCAATAAATTGAGATATTTATGGAAATGATGAGAGTTTATTTATTATGATTTCAATATTTATGAAATATGAATATGGTTCATTAATTATGATCAATATTTTATATTAGAAAACAATCAAAATTTCTATGAAATCACATATTAATCAAATGAAATGGACGATTGAGATTGGGTTGTATTGGTTGTATAAATGTCAAGGGTTGTACTCTCTCTCTCTCTATATATATATGCATCTAGTTTGAGCTTATTGTAGTTTAACCATGGGGTTGCCGATCGAAAATATGAACAGCTTCTAGGGCTCCTGCCAAACATGAAGGGGATCACAACAGAAAAGGTAGCTTCTCCATGTCTACTTAAACTGTACAACGAGGGACAAATTCAGATGCTCAACAAGAGCGAGCCACAACAGTTTTCACATTACACAGCACATTTCGTCCAAGACAACACCAACCAGCAAACTCAGTCGTGTAATTATGTTACATTTGTCCCTGTCGGCGAGCAAGATCCTCTCCAAGTACCTCCCTTAAATCTCTCTTCCTCGATCCATCTATTAATTATCGATATATTAGTTAATTATAAATTCGATTGTTAGAGGGCAGAGTGGATCAAGTACTTGGGAGTTTTTGCAAACATGGAAGTGAGAGCAAATGAAATCTATGATGCTGTAAGTTTATAAGAGCTGCATGCATTACGTATATTTTGTTTGTGTTTATATATGTTGTGTGCTCGTTACAATTCGATCGATGATTCTTGATGCTCTTCGATTAATTGATTATGCAGGTCAAAAAGAATTACATGTGCTTGGTTGATTCTGCAGCAAATAAGACCAAAAGGTTCAAACCAATAGTTGCTTGGATGGAGCTTATTGATGTATGTATATATATACCTACAAGCGTCTTTGACGTCTTAAAAACAATTTAATTTGTCTGCTTCGTATCATCCATCGTTCGATCTCTTTCATTTTCATTATATTGATGAATTTGGTCAATGTATATGAGAAAAATGGCAATGAATGATTCTTGAAGATAAAGCTTTTGTTTAATTCCATTTGTATTTTTCTCCTGTGCATGTGCTACACAGGATGCTTGGTCTTTCACAGAAGAACCATACAAGCTAAAGGTATGCAAAATATGTACATCTTTTTATAGAATACAAATTATATTCAAACGAATTCAACCCGACATTCGAGTATACTTGTGCAACAGTATATAGAAGATGCAGGTGGAGAGAACATCGATGCTTCCATCAACAAAGTAACATACAACATCTCCATTAATGATGATTTGGAACAACTTCATGCCATCTTATGTGTAAGTTTCACACAAATGAATTCTTGATTAAAATAACTACTTGGATTATATTCTTAATTACTTTGTGAAATTTAGACTGTAGATGTAGTGATCGATGGAACGCTTACTCCAGATCCAATGAGCTACAATGCAACCTCGTTTCTTCAAAACCTCAACGTAGAGGATCAATCTTGTTTTGGTTTTCTTTCGTATCAAAGCTTGTGGAGACACGATAAACGCCTTACAACCAATCTGGCTCTTGGTATGTCCTATTGAAGCTTGATTTCACAGGTGGATTGATTAGCAGTTTTCTAAATGTTCTACAATGAGTTAGAATTTCTATCTACAGCTAATTCATGTTGCATCAAGTCTACAACAAAATCGGTTTTATATGACACAACTATTTGATCATATAAAGAAGTCTATTAGAACGCTTAGACATATTTGATATCCCAATTTTCTAGTAGTAAATGGGCCCTCGATATTACTTTGACATTTTCTTGAACTTTGTTTTCTAGATTGGTATAATGGAGCAGTGTCTCAACCACAACTAGTCCTTGCGGACTTAATAGAAATTCTCTTTCCATCAGGGAACTATACAACTACTTATTTTCGGAACCTTGTAAAGGTACGTACTTGAAATTCTTTCTTGATTATATGTTGATACTGACTTGTATTAGAACTTATGAATGTATTATATCCGTACCTGCAAAAATTCAGGATGAACCGACTACGATCATTGGTCCTGAAAGCTGCGATCGCGATAGCTTAACTGCTATGGAGCCAACTATAGTAGCATGCACATAGAATACAGTTTTTGGCTTAACCATTCTTTAGATGTATTGACTTTCTTATTAGTGTCTGTAACACTATTGGGTTTGACCCATGATAGATAAAAGACAAAGAAATGTTGGTCTGTTTGTCATTTGTCATATTCATAGACAATTTGTGTAATATCTATTGACATATAACACATCTGTGTTTTTGTTTGTTTTTTAAGTGGTTTATTATTTGTTGATACCATTCAAAAGGTTTTTGTATTTATATACGACAAATGTAATAAATAAACTCACACATCTTTTTTTTTTTTGGTGAACTTCTGACCTTCTATAGGAGGCCAAAGACTACGATATCGCTAGGACAAAGACCATTTGGTATAATGCTATGATCTTAATGGGCACAAAAATAGAATATTAAATTTTGGGTATATTTGAGCAAGCCAAGAATACTAATCTTGTATTTATAAATTAAAATTTGATTTATTTTTTAATTGGTAGGATCTTCATGTGAAGGCAAGAATAACCTTGGATTCAAGCAAAAGAAAAGTGATAAATGTAAATAGGAGAAAAGTACATATTTGGTCCTTGTTCTTTACATCAATTACATGTCTTTCCATGACTTTCAAATTGTAACAATTGGCACCCTAAACTCCAATTGTATTAATACTTGGTCCTTCTTCTGCGGGTATGTGTGCGGCATGGCCTTCACTATTGTACTCGAGTTATAACTAAACGTTCTACCAAGTCTAGTAGCGACAATAAACAAACATTGATCTACATACATCTTTTTCAATTTTTTGACTGGGAGGTAAGATCAAATGCAGCTTTTATCCTTCCAAATAATATATTTATTGAGTTTGTAAATTCAAAAATAATTGATGATATCTTCAAGCTCCATCGAATATGATTAAGAAGATATATCACCCATTTGCTTATAGATTCTAAAGGTTTACGCCTTTAATATTATTTTGCTAAAGTGTAAAGTGTATGTTTTTAATGCATATAGTCAGTATAAAATTGATGTTGCGTTGAATATAAATATCTTTAAAAATCAATGGCCACGTTTTAATGTGGTAGAGTTTTGGTACTATGTACTAAGAAAAGAATCGTAGTCGGTGATGAAGCTTTCGTATGCTATAAGAAAATTAAATAGCAATTAGCGCAAAGCCCTTATAATGTTACACTTTACACCCCTCAACTTTGGTGATTGGTGAAAAAGTCTAAAATGTATATCACAGATAGATTCAATTTGAAATAATCTTAAAATGGTTTTGGATGATATGGTGTTTCCTTCATTATCCAATCTTTATGAACCCTGTTGATGACGAGTCAAACATGTCGTGAGTTTTTGACCATTAAACTTTTGTGAACATATGTAAATCTACATATTGTTTTCTCAATGTTCTTGTTTGAATTTAAATATATAACCACAAATTAAAATGCCAAAACTTTTATTAGTTACTCATTAAAGTTTCATTTCATTTTTTGCTAAAAAATAAGTGATAAAAACTAGCTAGAATGGCATGGATAATATCTAAAAATGTCAATGCAAAGTTTCATTTCCAAAAACTGGGTCATCCATGTAATACCCAAGACTCTAAGGGTACTTTCTGCACTTCATATTAACATGGAGGTAGTTTATGTAACTTTCACACGCTCCTTCTTCATGGGTATTGCAACTTTCACAAGAACAATGTGAGAACATGAGAAAAATGACACTTGAAGATTCACTTTTGATCCACAAAACCCACCTTTAAACACATTTCCCAGATGCAAAAAAAGCATAAACAACATGATCTTCACCCATAAAACAAAATCATTCGCAAGAATTTCACATTATTTACTTGATTTCTCACATAAACCTCAATGTATCCATACATCCATGGTGAATCCAGCCAAATCCATGTTGAAAATGAACCAGAAACGGTTTTTTTTCGCTATGTTACCTTCCATGGCTGCTGCTATCCTCATCGTCATCTTCAACCTCGGTGTAAAAACCCCATATCTACTTTCGTCAAACATCCAAAACTACCCGTCGACAAAGCAATTCAGCCTCCTGATAGGAATCCTTACTCGAGCAGATAACTATGATCGCCGCCATTTCCTCCGTCTCATCTATGGCATCCAATCCTCTCCATTAGCCGAAGTAGACGTTAAGTTTGTCTTCTGCAACCTCACAAAACAAGAACAACGAGTCCTAATAGCCCTTGAAATCCTAAGATTCAACGATATTATCATTCTCAACTGTTCAGAAAACATGAACAACGGGAAAACCTACACATACTTCTCGTCACTTCCTCGAATCCTATCTCGAACTTACAACTATGTGATGAAGGCTGACGATGATGTCTTCTTGCGCCTTTTGCCGCTAACATCCTCGCTGCAGCCGCTTCCGAGATCGGATTGTTACTATGGATTCGTGATTCCGTGCCAAAGTATGAATCCTTTTGTCTCGTATATGTCGGGAATGGGGTATATTTTGTCATGGGATTTGGTGGAATGGATCGCAAACTCAGATATTCCTAGAAACAACACTTATGGACCGGAGGATAAACTGGTCGGAAGATGGTTAGATCTTGGCCAGAAAGCACGAAACAGGTTTTCTAATAAGCCGGCAATGTACGATTACCCTGGCAAGAATGGGAGATGCTCACACGAGCTTATTCCTGATACAATAGCCGTTCATAGAGTAAAAAGATGGGATCAATGGTTCGCTGTGATTAATTATTTCAACGTCACCAAGGAACTTAGGCCATCTAAACTTTATAATGTATGAGATCATTCAAATTCAATCGAGGTTAATGATGCAATTTCTGCAGAAAATTAACAAAACATAGACAAAGAATGTGAATTTCTTTATTTTCTTTCATCTTTATACAATTCATTGACATTTTATCAGATACTTATGTTATTTTTTTGTACACAAATCGCTTTACTTATCGTTGTAAACTGGACAAACCAGTTACAAACCTGAACTGCCCTCAACCGTTTAAGCTCCAAAAAGCCTGAATGAAGCAAGAAATAATACTGTGTAAGTCGAAGTGTGTAGTTCAAAAACCAGATCGATAAACTAAATAATGGTTAACTTCAGAATTTACCTTTGCAACCTGGATTGCGTGCGTCTGTTAGAGAAAAAGAAAGAACTCATCCATCAGTTGAACGTATACTAATTATCAAGAATTAAAAAGAACAAATTAAGTTTATAGATGTTAAACAAAAAATCTTTAGATGGCATGCCTTTGCATCGGCTGAGTTGAAGTCTTTGCCCTTGGCACGGGTACAGGTTGAGCCTCATCGCTAGCAATAGGCACAGTCCTAACCTGTGGTATTCACATATGAATTAAAACAGTTTTAGGAACCCTTTTGTTGGATTATTAAATCTGTGTTGTCTGATCAAAATTATAAGCCAACATGTATATGTACCATGCTCTTGTAATGAAGATTGTAGAATAGTTGGATGTATCTTTGTTTCAATTGTTTCTGTTCCTTGTTTAACTGCTTCCAGAACGTGTAAATGTTCCCCATATTCAACACTTTATTTGCATAAATCTTCCATGTGTAGCTGAAAAATCAGAAACAAATGTTAGTAATCAAAATTTTGATTCCAATGTCTTACGGATCAAGTATTTGATTTGATTACCATTCATATATACGCTTCAAACCTCCTTCCGAAATTATGTTCCAGTATTCAGCATCCTCTTTGCATTTCTGGAAAAAATCAGCAATCTTGTTGCTGGATTCATCACCATTGTTGGGATCAATCTGAAATCCAGAAACCCCATCAACGATGATCTCAGCTGGACCACCTTGATTTGTTGCAAAAGTTGGCAAGCCGCAGTTCATTGCCTCAATGACCGTGAGTCCAAATGCTTCATATAAAGCAGGTTGAACAAACGCTCCCTTTGAGTCAGCAATAAAACGGTAAAGCTCACTGTTTCTGTTTCGATCAGTTTGTGCTGCTATCCATCTTATTTGACCTTTGAGTTGGTATTTCTCTATCAACAAGTGCATTTTCTTTATCTCTGCCATCTCTTCTCTATCTTTTGATTTTGATGGATCAAAGAAACCGGCCACAATAACAAGATTAACCAGACTCCTCAGCCTCTTGTTCTCTCCAAACCACTCGGTGAGTCCTGTGATGTTCTTCACAGTATCAAGCCTTGCCATTGAGAAGATGATCGGTTTCTTATTGTCTTCCAAGTATCCACTGTTTCCAGAATATCGATGTCAAAGAGTTGCATACTCGTGTGCAGATCAAACATACGCTAATTGTACGTTTTATTTCAAAACTCTCCTTAAAAACTTGTTAGGATGTCAAATACACCCTAACATCCTATTGTAATACCTTCATACAGGATACATAATAATTATTTGGTCCTATAAACTTAAAGTCTTGTAAAGTAGTTGATTAGGACATTTAGACATCTTTGACATCCTATAAAACCGATTTTGCAGTAGTGACATATAATGCATAAGTTTACGTAGTTCAGCGAGATGTTATCCAACTTACATGTGTTCGTTGTTATCAGCTTGATTAAAGAGTAGTTCCTCAATGGCAGGCCGAAATGAAGTGAATCGTTTCTGTGTGTCGGTGTAAGGGAAATACACGGTCTGATCAGCTCCTGGAGAAGCAATGTTGAACTTAGGATCGAACACATCGATGCCTGAAACGACTCTATATAGTCCTGGAAGCGTGAATGCTCCGTGGCTTTCATACTGCCCAGGCCTATCTTTACTGCAAACCAAACATCAGAAAGCTCAAAACCATCATTTATTCAACCATAAATAAGTAATGTGGTTATGTTTTGATATCAAACCTTCCAGCAATTTCTTGGTAAGTACTGGTGATGATGAAATCTGCTGAATTCATCGCAATCATATCAGCTGTGAATTGGCAGGAGAAGTGATATTTTGGGTCCAATTGCTTCCAGTTCATGTCCGAATCTTCGTACTTGGTCTTCTCTAAAGCATGTGCAATCGTAGCCTGCCGATTCGTGCTCAAACGGATCATTCATACAAAGAAAATTTTGGGGTTTGCTTAAAGATTGTGAAAACAATGAGCATAGACGTACCAATGTGGTTCCGAGTTTGTTAGCCATGAGAGATGCTACCAGATTTCCATCAGTATAATTTCCAATTATAAGATCTGGTTTCCCTTCCATCATTTCGATGATTTTCTCACTTGCATCCTATTGATTTTAGTTCGAGTGATTAAATATCCAATCAAATAAATACAATCATGAACACAAAGCGAAATGAAAGGGAGCATGCCTGAGTGAACTTCTCAAGGTACGGATAAATATCGAATCGAGACACCCATTTACGAAGAATGCCTTTTTCGGTCCTAAACGGGACTCTAATTATGTGGGAATGTTTTGTGTTCATAACTGGCTCCAGCACCTGATTACACTTGGTCCCCTTGGCATCAGGGAGAAGTCGAGTCACCTGATTCAGGTCAACATTTGTAAATTAGTAACATCATAAACATTTCATTCTAGAAATGAAAAATATTATTCTCACCACAAGAATCTGAGGCTTGTAGTTGAGCCCTTGCTGCTTAATTCTGAGGAGCAATTCCTCTTCTAAAGCCACAACTTGATCCAAAACATAAACCACCTGCCCTCCAGTATCAGGCAAGCCAAGAACATTTGATTGACCAAAATACCCATGGATTGAGAATAACACGACGTTGAATATGCTAGGGACCCTGCTAAAGAATTTCTCCAGGTTTACAGGGTCAGGTGCTTGAAGAACCTCCAATAGGAATCGAACTGTTTCCCTCACCCTTTCTGCATTATCTCCCCATCCCTTCTCAAAACCCCATTCTTTAAACCTGTATACACCATGGTTTTAAGTTTCTGGCTACGGGTTCAAGTAAATTCATATAAATAGACAATAGTTTAAAGAAACTTTACCTAAGCTCGAAGCTTTCATATGGAGTATCATTGGGCAATGAAGAAAGGGCAGCCAGAGCCACTGTTAGAGCCCCTTGGAGCTTTGAAATTGTGTTCAGTGTATCATTTATCATAAGTTTCTGCATATTTGATTTGAAATCATTAAAACTAAGTAAATGGATTTGTTCTTGTGAAAATTATATTTACTTCAAATCATGTCATACTTCTCCAAGATGATTTAATGAGAGCAAGTAATCAACAAGAAGCTGTTGGCTGCCGGATTGAGCATAAAGTTTAGAAGTAATGAACTTTGATGCGAAGTTAACTCCATTTCCGATCGATGAAGATAAGCTCATGGTAGGCATATTGAAGTTCATTGCACCAAAGTCAACCTCCAATGCATTTTCATCATCAGCCCTGAAAGATTTGAACATTAGTAGAGCTTCTATAAGTTTCCAACAAACGTTCACAAAATCCTGACTATAAAATCTTGCATACCATGTCTCATCAACGATTGCCTCCTTGAATTTCAAGTAATCTATGGCAGTGATCCCATCAACAGACAGATCGTTAGAGTTGACTTTAACAAACTCCCAGAATCCAGGGTTCGGCCTTATAGCAAAGGCAACATAAGGAGGAACAATCGCTGCTTCCTGTGAGATCAAAAGTTAAAAGAGTCCCAGCTTTCAGAAAGTCTAGATATATAGATATATATAGATAGGATTTGGTACATACCTGAGTTGTGCACAAGATGTAACCGAGTAAGCCTTCCAAGACCTGAGCCTTTTCGTCCTTCTCCTCAATGACACTCTCCATTTCTTGCATCAAATGGTGGAGTTTCATCATCCTCTTTCCCTTTTCTACATACTTCAGAAAGCATTTCTTCATATGATACCGGCTCTGCCTCAACGCTTCTGGCATGGTGTCGACTACTGATTCGGAACGTTTCATAATCGAACTTGAAGAAGCCATGATGAATTCTTGAGCTGTTAAAGATTTTAGATACACAACACAAGCAAACCCAGGATTTTATTTGATTCTGAAGAAGTTTGTGGGATTTATAGGCAATGGTACTTGTTAGATTGAATAACTTTTATGAGTTTGCTTTGCTTCTGGTTTTGTCAACCATTTGGAATTGTTAGGAAGGGATAGTTTCCAGAAATGTGAAGGTGTTTGTGAAAAGAAAAGAATTTTGCGTTGGGAGAGATGTTTGATTCCTAGTTTCTTGGAGAGGACATAACTCTTGTAATTGAATCTGGCTTTCTAAATTCCTAACCCTGTTTTCAAATTTTGTTATATGTTTCTTGATTCATCTTTAATAATTTAATGAATAATACATAAATATGTGATTCCAACTAAAGACATCTGATGAACTCATGAGCAAATCTTAACCACTTGCTTTTTAAATTTTGACAAATAGTAGTCTGTCAAGAAATCATATGTGACCGATGCCAAATGGTATTTACCAACATTTGCATACAATATGTCACATGCTACTCCCCCTAGGTGGTGACCAAATACAAATAAAACGTCAATTTGATACATAAACATTATCTATGAAATAAAAATAGGGTCTCAAAGTATTTCTAGACATTTTTCTTTCCTTTTGAGCTACGGCTTTGGTTCCTCCTGAGATACATGTTGATAGTCGGCTTAAATTTAGTGGGTTCATACTTTCTTAAAACATACCTTAAACAGAGCATCGCAAATACATATCAAGTAAAATATTGTAATAATGTAGCATCACAATGTACAACATCATCAAATTCGTGGATGCAAAGATAAATGTCATGGATTTCAACATCAAGTACTTTGTGGATCAAACAAATATGAGCATGCGATTACCATGCATAAAGAGTAAAGACGATACATGTACAGGCTTACATCAATCGACTCATTATAGAAGTACTTCACAACGTTAACTAGTATATACATCATTGCGGTTTACCATTATTAGTACTGGCTCATGATCCACAAGTAGAAAAATTATTTCATGCATTTCATATCAAAGCTCATGTTTTCATATTCACATCATTCTTGAATCAGAGTTGTATGTGAAGCATACACTAGCATATATGTATAGCATATATCACAGTTTTAAAGTCATGTGAAACTCGCCTCGAAGCTTTTCTGATTCGTTCACAATTCCGCCTACATACGTCACAATATCTCTCTAAGTATTTCAACCGAATATTTAATATTCAATTGGCGAACGAGCTCACATTGAGCTCATCAGAACTTAGACCGAGCCCTAAGCCGCTCTAGTATCTAAAATAAAATTTGAGTATTTTATCCCAAGTATGATCGATATACATATATTTTAACAACAAACATAGTATAACACTTCAACAAAGATATAATACTAGTGTTCATTCACCATTACTATTCTTAATATGAGTTTTGATTCCAAAGCCTGATTATAGGGATTGATTATAAACAGAACAAAAATTATAGTTCAAAAACATATGGTCAAAATATGTCTCATAATTTGTTGACCATATCTATCCTACCTTATAAACCAGATTTGAGAAAAGTCTTAAAAACAAACTTAAATGCATAAGGTACTACCTTTTGATACACAAAGTCTTAATTACAATACTATCAGCATAGAATACAACTTCTTAATGCACACTTAGAATATAGGTGGCAACACTACTCTCAAAATATCATCTTCCCAAGACACGCCTCCCCTTTGCTTCGTTCAGACCTCGTGCTCCCCAAATCGAAGATTCACAAATTAATTCCCAATATGACTATTCATGCTCTCAGTATCATGATTCCTAATACAATTTCATATGTCTATACGGTTAGGCTGCTGATTCCTTTCTCTATCCATCGCTCATCTAACGATTCCATTCAAGGTAATTAGTTTTTACATTCTCAATCCATCACTTGTTCATCTTCCTTCTCCTTCACTTCTTTGTAATCAGTTTTTACATTCAAGGTAATTAGTTATGTGTTCATCTTTCTCTCCAATTTCACTTTTAGGTGTTTTTAAGTATGATCCATTGACTAATGTAACGCCTATTTGTTCCCATCGATCGATTGTTCCCGTCATTATTCGACTTCTGATTTCGTGTTCGACTTTCTCCATCTTTAGGTAAGAGTTTGACCTGAATTTAAATCATGTTTGGTTCTTGGTGTTGTGAGTTTGACCTGAATTTAAATCCAGATTTTCTATTGAGAATCTTTCAAGAGTTTACCCTGTAATTTCTGAAAAATGGTATTTTCTTTCAAGTAGTTTCACATTTTCATATCAGTTCAATGCTTCAAACTTCACCGCCATAATTTGATTTTTCAAAATACTGTGCTTTTGGGTTTTTTTATCGGCCACCATAGGGATAATATAGCGTTGGTCTATCATATTCATAGCCTTTGATTTGAAGTATGTTGTCAACTCACTTTACTGGTTTGATAGAGAAAAAGGAAAATTGAAAATTTTGTTGTTGTAACATATTGTTACTTGTTTGAGTAGATATTTGGAATGAGATCATATCAATCCAGAGATTACATTCATCAGAGAATGAGTTGTTTGAGAGAATTGAGTTGCCCATTTTTCAGAGTGGTTGGGTGGAATATATACATGGTGGACAAAACACTCAAACAGATCACTCCATTTCTTTGGTAGACATGTTTTGATGCAAAAAATATTTTCTATCTACTTGTTGGTTGTTTTGATTAGAAGTTGGCCTCATGTACATTTTGCAGGTTTATGTTTGTTTGCAAATTCAAATTTTGCAGGTTTACGTTTCTTGATTGCTGGTTGATTTATGTTTTCATTTTGTTGATTGTTTATAACCATATATGTTACTTAACTTTCCTAAGATTGAAGGAGGATCCAATTTCCAAGTTAAAGTTAGATGGTCTCAGAAAATGTTATGTCTCAGCCTGCCTTTTGCTTTCCCTGCTCATGTATTTCCAGTTTTCGAGAAAGTTTCTTGTAGAGAAAAAATACTGCTATATGTGAATTCTGACCTGCACTCGGATTACATGCAACACTTGTAGCCATCCTTTAAAGGCAAGGCATGCATATCTTCATCTTTTATACCAGATGATGATCATTTATATCATTCTTGTTTAAATCTGTTTCCTTCTTTATAGGAACTAAAAAGACAGGCTGGCCAATTAAGCTTCTTGTATGATTCAAAGGTTCTCAAGTGGTCTTCTCAAGATTTCTATTTTGCGTATTCGGTAAGACCTACCATCTTTATGGGAACACGTTTTTAGGATGCCAAAAAAGTACTCAAGATGTTCTAATGCTTTCACCATCAAACAATTATGCATCCTATGTAAAAAGGTGTTATAATATGACGTTAGGACATATTTGGGCATACTAACAAGTTTTTTCAGGCTCTTTTGAAATGAAGTGTCTTGTTAGTTTTTTATAGAACACTTTGACAAGCGTGTTATGAACACATACTTTTGTTTCAAATAATATCACATAAAAAGACTAATAGGACACTTTATTTTAAAATTGCATGTACTAAAAGTCAGCAATGGACCTGACATTTTTGCCAACCAAGTGCACCTTAAAGGTGGATCAAAGCCCTGCAAAGTTGCCCGATATCCTTTTAGCCGAATGCCACCTTTCTAGGGATTTTTTAAGTTTTCTGGTTGTCAAGGGACTTTTCGCGTTTTTTGGTTGATATTCTTTGTATTTTCTAATATCACAAAGTACTCCTAGAAGTTTAGTGTTTGCACCTCTCATACCAAAAAAATACTACTTAGGATAATCGGTTGAGTGGATGCACGGGACTGTGCTGGCTTTCATAGGTCCGCCCCTACTAAAAGTTGTTATAAGTGTTATGTCAATTTATTGCAACACATTTACATAGGACGCATAATTGTTTGATGATATAAATATGAGTCCTATAAAGCAACCTGTTATCACATTTAGACATTTTTTATATCCTATAAAGCATATTTTGCGGTAATACTAAAACCAAAAGCATATGGTGTTGGGTTCACGGGTTGGCTGCATCTTTTCAGGCATGCTCAAATGAAATATTTGGAGGTCTGCTTCTGCAAGCTCCATCTTTACAAGATTATGATTAGAGATATTTTTTTCTTGTATCTTCTCCCAGGTAGTAACAGAAGCAAGAAGGTTAGCGGCAGTTTATAGATTGGTTTTCAATTAAGTCTTGTATGGATAAAAATGTTTCTCCTTGTATAGATTGAGAAGGTTTTTGTTTGGGAGGGTTTTTCATAGACGAATGGACATGTTTTTTAATTGGGAGAGGAAGGTTTAGAAAAAAATTGGTTTTCTGCATAAAGTTCCCCCTAGAAGCTTATTGAATAAGCAATTTTTTATATCATTAAGCCACTAGCAAACAGTCATATATAGCTGACAGAATAAGTTGTGAGTCTCATTAAGCTTATTAAGCCATTAACAAACAAGCCCTAAAGCATAAGTGTTTACCAAATGGTAATAGGCCTTCAGAAAGGAAGTGGTATTTGTAATCGACATAAGTGGCAGGACGCCAGACGACCCTTTACAGAAAACGAAATATGAAGTCATAGGATTTCTTTGGAAGCTTAATCAAGGAGATTCTTTTAACGTTTTAGCTTCGAATGGAGAGGTTAGAATGTTCTCGAGTTCGTTGGAGTTGGCAACAAAGGAAACGATCACGAATGCAACTGAATGGATGAACACAAATATTGTTGCTGATGGAGGTACCAACTTGCTGCTTCCCCTAAAACAGGTAATCTTCGTATGTGAATCTGATTCGAGTGCCTTATCAACACACCAATTGGCAACTACAGTCTTCATTTGTGAATGTGATATGAGTGTCTAATCTTCATCTGTGAATCTATTGTCTCAAACGTCCTATTCTATTATAATATTTATGAAACTGAAAGATTGATGAACCGATGATCACCATATATATGTGCAGGCAATTGAAATGGTTGGTAAAACAAGTGGAGCATCATCTTCCTCTTAGCAATGGTAGCACCTCTAGCTACTTCAGTTTCAGCCAAGTCGTTTATTGTTGGTGACGACAATGGTTGGACTCTTAACGTCGATTATCAAGCTTGGGCCAATAGCAAGCAATTTTGTGTTGGCGATCAACTTAGTACGTGTCCCATTATACAGTGAACTGTGAACCTTAATAATGCCTATATATATATATATATATATATATATATATATATATATATATATATATATGTGTGTGTGTGTGTTAAATGTACGCAGAAAAATGATATTTAAAAGTTAAATGTATCATGATAGATACTTTACAATTCGCCATATTATGCGGGTACACAAATAGTAATATAATACATAGAAGTCTCAAAGTATGCAGAATCACATTTTAAATATCAACTATATAATGTTTGGAGACTTCTTAAAATTTCTACAACGTCAAATATCTAAAACCCTCCCCTCTTGAGTCAATCTCCACTGAGCCAGCACCTGTTTGGCCCAACAACCACGACCTAGTCTGTGCGGTTCAACCATGGTGACGACCCGAAATCATCCCAAACCCACAATTAGCCCAGATCAACTACGTGATTCGGGTCTCACCCGGCTTGTCCCAGGTAGTGGACCTGACAGAAAAACCGTCAGGATTTTTTTCTATGATTTCACTTCGATTTTATGGATTTTGCTTCAAGTACTTGTTATATATTAAGTCCTAACATCCTATAATAAATATCCTAACATGATTCGTAAAGTAATTTGCATAAAATCAAACCCAAATCATGAGTTTTCATCAGGACGGCATCGACCACAACCATGCACGACAGTGATGCAAAATTATGACCTTAGGATCACTATTACTCCATGAAAACTACCCCAAATCGATAGACATCGTAAATCAACAACAAATATACGATTACTTTATGAATTGACGAGTAAACCTTACCTCAATTGAAGTATAACTCGAGAATCTGAACTTGACTTCAACGACCGATTCCTGTCTCGATACATTATCATTTTACGAGGGGGGTTTGATCTAGAATGAAGGACGATTGTATAGAGTAGTTAGATTGCGAGGTGGGTGCGAGTCGTTCAAAAATTTTGGTTCCAAAACGGACCTTGCAACCAAACAGTTTTACCCAATTTCAAAACTTTGACATATTGGCAAACCAGATCTTTGAAGTTCCATGCGATTACACATTACCCCTCCGGTTTGACTTTATTTTCCATTTTTAGTCCAAGGTTTGAAATTCAATCCAACGCAGTGCACGTACGCAAAATTACAAAAATCGTTGGTGAGCATCTGTAACAAGTTTTTTATAATTTCTTTATCATAAACCAGAAGAGTACCGTACAATGTAGCGAGAAACATTTCGATTTTAATGTTTTATTTTATTATTTGTTCCTGTCGATTTTATAATACGATTTTATGTGTTTTTAAGAAAGCATTAATGATTTTATTTTTGAATAAAATATAAATTTAAAGATATCATAAAAATTTGAAGAAAAATATATCAATGTTAATATTAAATCAACTATTTAAAAGTTCTCATTTTTATGTAATTTCTTTAATTTATAATTTTTTTATCATAAACAGTACTTTACGCATAAAAAGTGGTTTTTATGAGTTTTTATCGAATGCTTTATAATATAGTATAGATAACATTTTATAAAGATAATGATTAAGTATTCTGTTAGAACTCAATTATTAGCCTAATTATATTTTAGATTTTTTATATTTAAAATGAGATGTTTATCTTGTATTTGATTATGTTTATCTGCAGTTAGTTACACGAATTCAGATATGGAGCTTTAATAACTTGTATTTACGCACAATCTACTTGTAATCTTGAGTTTTAAGTAATATGCATTAATAAACAGTATTTTACGCATAAAAAATGGTTTTTAAGAGTTGTTGTCAAATGCTTTATAATATTGTATAGATATCTAAAATTTAAATCATTGAAAACAATTACATTCAATTTCAACAGATTCTCTATTTTATATATATATTTTGTTTATTTATATTCTCCAATTTTATCATTCCAATATACTTTAAAAAATTATATAAAGTAATAATAATTCAATCTCATCAGTGAAATTAAATATAATAATCATTTCTCTCTCCCTAAATAAGTTTTAGAAATTTTTCATGTTTTCTCTATTTTTGAAAACATTATAGAGAATCTATTATAAAAAAGAAAACCTTCATTTTTTTTATTTTAGAGAATCTCAAAAACTTTGTTTTCGTCCCTATCTTTTTGAAATTACCGGGAACGTCATTAAGGTTTCATTTTCATTGTGGTTTTCCGTAGCACTGACAGTGTCCTCATGTACAAGTCAAATGTGGGGAATAAAGCATTTAAATAAACACAAAACGAAACCTAACCATTAAAGCATTACAAAAACTGTCCACTCGCTACCCTCATATGCTTCTACTCTGTGAGTCAGAGATCTTCCAGGGGTTGTACGCTATTTATTTCAATTTTGGTAATTTCTGGATTTTAATGTATATTTGGGTTTTTAATTTAGTTTAGGGTTTAAAGATTTCATTAAGATATTCTATTTAGCTCTTAAAGGGATTGATGGGGCTTTTGATACAATCTCATTTTGTGCAATGAATAAGGGATCGACTTAGTTTGGGGATTTTCTTGTTTTGATTTACGGTGATCTCCAATGCCTATTCTTTGTGTTTCTTTAGGTTTTCGTATTTGTGATTGCAACAGTTTCTCAAAATATTTGTTTATTTTGCATCGAAAATACTAATTACCAGAGTTCTTAAAATGTATATAAGTGTTGCGTATGAGCCGATGCAATATAAATTTCTTCTCCATTTACTGTTTCTGAGGTTTTTGCTCTCTTTGATCAGCCATAATTATTTTACATGTATTGAGAACGTAAAAAAGTTAGTCTTGATGTTGATGTATCTGATAAGAAAATTAGTAGTTAATGATGCATTTAACCCACCTGATTACCATAATTAACCTAAATTTGAATTTGAGCATGAGATGTATGCAAAGTTTTAGCTACCAAGTGAAGCCAAAAAAGGCTCGTCAAACTTTTTACCTAAATGGTATTCTGCTGACCCCTGTTGCTTTTAGCTGTCACAACAATTCTTCAAGATTTGCACAATCCGTAATGACTTCCATCGCTTCAGCATCTGGACCGATGACCATCAAGCACAAACACTCCCTATATCGTTTTTATATAAAATCGTCAAGAAAGATCATTAATTACCGTTATACAATATGAAATACAGTCGCATAGCATCATCTTGTACTTCACCCTCCACCTTATTGCCAATTTCCATTTATCCAGTGACCTTATTGCCTTTCTGGGTAAATCTATGATCTCATTGTTCAGTAAATTGTTGTTTTTCAAGAAGGCGCAAGTCTCATCTGTTAAACCCAATAATGCACACTTGAGCTCCATGGCTGACTCAAACTCTTTGTCCATAACAGATAACAATGACTTATCTTCTTTGATTGATGTTAAACTCTTCAAGACCAAACGGCATTTCTTTGCTAACCACTCCATAACGATTATCTCATTTGCATTTGATACAGGTGATCCAGAATAAGCAAGGTGTCGAACCGACTTTTGTAGGTGTGTGGGTGTTGCCCATAATCGCATAGCAGATAGCAAGGCAAAAGATGGCTTTCCGTTTTGTTGGATGTATAGAGAGTCTCCTGGCCATGAGCATAAAGAATGAAGGTCAGAAGGTAAGGGAACATAGGCCTTATCATTTGGGTTTCCATCTAGAATGAAACCATAGTGTTCTAGAAGCTCCAAATTTGTGTATGTTCCATAGCTTAAGAGAACCTGCAATACAAAACCAGTAGTTTGGAATTTGGATAAATTGCCGAAAAATTCATCATGTTACAAATAAGGCAAGTTAAATAATCTAATTCTCCTGATATATCAAGCTTGTAAAGTTTTACATACAGAGTTTATTTCTAAGATGCATAAAGCCAGGAGTGTGAGACGTTGGACGAACATAAGATAAAGAAAATCATATATATTTCATCGAATAAATTATGCTTCAAAGTTTACCAAGAATGTTAAGCAATACCTGATCTCCTTTTCTGTAGTTTCTTCTAGCGTAAAAGCAGTATGCTGCAGACTCTTCTTCAAATACACCATCGGTCAACCTAAGTGACTGAGCATCTGACTGCTCTCCGTCTAACCTTGCACCCGTGTCCGCCACTGTCAAGTCTCCATAGAGAACTTGCTCCTCCCCAGGTGCAGCATAATTGAAAAGGTCACCCACTGGACAAAAACAACCAGCAGCATCCCATGGAATATGCATTGTGCGGGAAGATATCTTCACACGATAAAAAACTGCGATTAAACATTGTGCAGGAAGATATCTCAAACAAGTTTTAAACATGATAAAATTAAAACATGGAAGTACGTCAAGCATAAAATCAATCAAGGATAAATAGTTCCATCAAGCCAACAAAAGATTATCAATTTCATCAGCATTTAAAGCTCCCTCTTCAGTAGCTATTGTCATAAATGGACTAAATGAGACAAATTAGGACCAATTCATTTATAATCAAATTTTAAAAATTGTTTTCTTTCGGTTATATTCTAATGTCAACTCAATATGTAATGTAAATATGTAATGCAGGCTTCACTTGAGCATTATTTGTTTCTCTCAACATTGGTTCAAAACAACTTAGCCTGTTCAACCAGCTTCATCTTGGCAAACCACTCTTTCCCTTTTTCAGACATATCATACGACACAAACAATTTGACCATACCAGACAGCCAGTTTAGGAAGTCATGAGAGTCAGGTTTTCCATCAAACACAAGGTGCTTCTACAGTTCTACATTGATTTCCCTATCATCATCTTCAATTATAGGGTAACGTCTGTTTGTCTCTGATGAAAACCAACACAAATTTTCAAAAGCAAATGAAGTATTTCACAGAATTGTTGGATGATTTATTCAAAAGCCAGCTTTCGAGAGGCTGGAGCTCTCTCAAGAAATTCTCCCTTACAAAGTGAATACCAGAAAAGACCAGCTCTCTCCCTTATTTATACTAGCTGCTAACAGACTTAACCAGTACCAACTACTGAATCAACCGCCTAACTAATATAAGAACCAACTGTTGTTACAAAACTACCCCTGAGATTTTAGAAAATTCCCCTGCTCTATTTCTTGCCTCTGTGCATAAGTCATCTTTATTTTGGGTCAAACACTCTCACTTATAGGTCTAAATGCACTCACCTGTGTTGATAATAATGTCTAGCATAAGATTTATGACTAAGGCTACTCCAGGCTCTTCATCACCTCCTATAGGATTGTTAAGTCTTCTTCCTCATCCCCAGAAGCTCAATTACCAGTTAATTTCCTCGATTAGCCTACTTTCGAGTGGGATTTAGTGGATCAGTTTGTTTTGGTTTTCCTCTGAGATCATGCTCTCCTAGAGTGGGGCATACTAGAACTGAGTGTTCCTGTAAAAATGATTCTCCGATCCCTATTTTTTTTTCCTTTAGCATTCCTGAGATTCCTTTTTTCCTCAATCTCGTTCCTACACCACTACAAAGTTCCTTAAGATGGCAGTTCTTTACCCACAAGAGTTGTATGATTGTTGCACCAAAAAAATTGTTAAAAACAAAATGCCAGATACACTTACAGATGCAGAAGCCCAGATCCATGCCTTGAAACTCATGTAATGTGGCTTGAACATAAGTTCTTCCATAATGGTAGTAGCACTTTCCCACTCCATTTTGGCCTTCTCCAATGCCTTCTCTGCAGCCCAAGTAGCATCATCCAGCTGCCAGTTACTTGAAACACTTCAGAATAACATGTCCCATCCAAGGAAGGTGGACACATAGCTCTTTATATATTATAAGATAAATAAGTATATTCTCACGTGCAAAGCTTGTATCTCAAACTGATCAAAACTTGACAATATGTCATAATTGGAAGGGAATTGGGTCAAGTAAAGGTACCACCAGGAACGCTTTCCCTTAGCCACTTCATTTAGCAATGCCACAGTCAGTATCTGCACTACAAAATGCTTTGGAATTACTTTTCCGTATCATATTTCTTTAGATACATGCATGCAATTGGTTCTACATCAAGAGCACATCTGTAAGGAAATGTGTTATGAATCGAAATATCTGCTTTCAAGCTTCTGAGCTTTACAATATGAAGGATCAAGTGATTCAGCCTAAACATTATGTTGATATTTATTTCTAAGTATCAGACTTGACAATTTAAAGTGATGAATTCATATCAGCTACATAAAATTTCCCTGAACTAACATACAATTCCCTGTTATTAACGAACAATAACATTAATATACCTGTGTAGAAGACAGAGAAAATTTGGGGATAGATATGGATAGTCTGTGATCATTCAATATTAGGCTTTGGGAGGTCATTAAAGCTGACTTTGGAACTCTGAGTATCAATTGACCTTTCTGAAGATCACGCACTGCACATAATCCTCTCCTGGATATTATGTCACCAAAAAGCACACATATTACACATACAGCTAATAGAACCAGGGAAAGGATTAAGAACTTTATGTTACCCGCCGGCGTTAGGGAAATAGGATATAGAGAGAGTTTGTCCAAGGCAAGAAGACGCCTGACGATGATTAGGGCACTGCAATTCATCTTTGTCGACGTTGATAAAGGGAGAATCAGAAATTCCAAGAGCAGTCGCCCATTCCATGAAGTTTTCCAGCTTGACTGCTTCCTCCATCTCCGTCGTTCTTCCCACCGAAACCACCGACCCAAAACCCAACAATTCTATAAATCTAGTTGGGATGGGCCTTCACTAGCGCAACTTATACATGGCCAAATACCGATCTCGGGCCAGCCTGGGATGGGCCCAAATCATATCGGGCAAAAACAGTAACAATTTGGATCATTCCTGGTTCTTATAACCGGTTAGGATAACTGGTCCCAGGCCGGGCCCAAACCGGTCCTATATTAAAAAAGCTTTTTTTTTTAATTTTTTAATTTCTTTTTGATAAATTTTAATAATATTTTAATTGTTATTCTAATAATATTTTAAATATGCAATTGGATCAAGCAAATACACTTAAATATTTTTATTGTAGTTTTATAATTGATTTTCAATCAAATACACTTAAAAAATACGTTTTATTATAGTTTTATAATTGGTTTTCAATTAAATACACTTAAAAAATACGTTCTATTATAAACTTGTAATTCATTTTCAATCAAATAGACATAGAAAGTTAGAAATACATATAAATTTTTTTTTTATGAAAAATCGGGTTGGTCTCGTGTCGGGCCTTGTTTTTTGACGAAAATCATAATCGGTACCAAAATGGCAGTCACAAACCGGTCCCAATCGATCCCGGGCCGGGCCTGTCCCAATTCGGTCCTCCATCGGTCCTGGACCAGGCCGGCCGGGCCCATTGGCCATATCTAGTAGGCATGGCAATGGGACGGGGATGGGGCAGATTTTGTAATCCTCACCCCCGGTTTGTAGTAACATCCCCCGGCCCCGGTCTCCGGTAGAGTACGGGGATTATCATCCCGTCCCCGGTCAAATCTTTAGCAATCCCCGGTCAAACCCCATAAATAGAGGATCTCCGGCCCCGGTTTGAGTAACATCCCCCGTCCCTGTCCCTGGTTTAAGTCTACCGAGGGCCCCAGGACTTGTTTTAGCTGGGAATCCCCGTCCCCGTTCGGGTCGGGTGAACCGGGTTCCCCACCGAGTCGGGGCAAATCACCATCCCTAATATCTAGCCCAACTGCAGTCGACAAATAAGTCGGCCCGCCTGACTCAATAGTTAATATCCTACAATCTAATTCTACTACATGGCTAAAAGCCTAAACTTGACTTGCTTGACCCGAGACAGAGAGTAGACCAGATATGGTCTGAGAGTTTGAGACTAGTTACAACTTACAAGTTTTTTGAAAAAATGAGGCCCGAAAGAGGACCGATCAAGGGGTCGTTCACCTACTCTTACCGGGTAATTATTGTCCGGGTAAGAGTATTGTCCGCAAGTGATGTCCGGATAAAAGCGTTAACAAAATGTTTTTGGTAAGTGCTTATCAACAATAAAATTACCATTATAACTCATTTGTAATTATATGTTGAATAAAATGTTATTACTTCTATTATCAATGGTTTAATGGAAGAAAAAGACAAAATGCATACTTTAAATAAATGTTCTACCAACAAAAATAATATTGCTTTACTTTTTTTATACTATTAATTACAAATTAGAGAATAAAATACAATTTATATGCTTCAAATTAAACAGCAAAATATATTAATAGTCGTTCATATGTAATATGGGCTTTCTGCTTTGATTTTAGCACTCAAACAAATACTCATTTGAGATCATTATAGTTTCAGAGATGAAAGAAGATTAAAGAAGATGAAAAGCAAATTTGGGTATAAAAAGCTGAAAATAAACAATTTTGCTTATCCCATAAAGATATAGAAAAGAGGGACAATGTTTCAAAATTTGATGAAAATGAGAGCTTTTTTTAAAGATTTGCGGGAAATAAGATGAACTTATACAAACCCACCACGAGCATCAACAGCAAAAATAAAATGAATATGTAAATCATTCTAAAAAAACAAAAACAATAAAAATCCTATTACACATTGATTGGAATATAGATATATTTTGACCATAAAAAACCTACCTATAATCATTGAATCGGTTCATTAATCAAAGTTACATATTCAAAATTCACACATAAACAAATTACACATGCATAAATGGAAGCTAATTTAAGAACAATCATAGTACCCTAGTTACAAAACTAGAACAATCAAACACACATTCTCACCAAAACCCACCAAAATCAAAGCATCAATTTGTAATATAAATATACTGCAATTCACAATCATACACATATATAGCAGGAATCAGAGGATAACTATTACATACCCAACCACACTTCTTGCAAGAGAAGTATGATCACTCGTAATCTCAATAACCCACACTTTGAATGATGCCCAAATGGATTTATTAACAGAACTCCTCAATTCGATGATCCATAATAAAAGATTAGCATATTTTTTACACAGACCCATAATACCATAAGCCAAATAAACAAGTTCATCAAAGACAATAGCAAAAATGTACCAGGGAGAAGGAACAAAATCAAAACAACTAGGACAGAAATGTACCTTTGCGGTGGTGTGAAGAGAGCCGAGAGCAACAAGGAAGAAGGGAGGAGGTGTGACGAGCGGTTGTAGAGGGAGGAGGTGAGACGAGCAGTTGAGGAGGGAAACTTACTCGCAACACATTTTGTGAAGGGCAAGTCCGACAACGTGAAAACTGATTGGGATAAGCATCATTTTGATGCTGACTCGATCAGATCGCAGTCAGTTTCTCGGTCAGATTTCTAATTTGGTAAACACGTTAACTGCTGACCAAATCAGTGTTGTGGACCGAGTTAGCCTGATCTATAGCTAATAAATAGCCCCTAAGTGTAACGGCCAATTTTTTCATTCTAATTGTAACACAAATTTGACAAATAAATATAACATTTAAAGTGTATTTAAATGAATAAACTCAAAAATCAATAGTTATAAAAATTTCTATATAAAATAATATTTTTGTCTGAGAAAATGAAATTTCATTTTGTTTTAAATATTAGGACAGGTTGAGTACCGGATTTTGAAGAGTTTTGAGACCGGTATGAAAGACGGAGATTGTAACCAAATGTCGGGATTATAATCAATCTTTATTACTTGCATGTATTTTATTACAATTTTTAATGAAATTATATTATGGAGTTTGTTGCAAATGTAACGTGCTATTACATGGGAACTAGTGAGCCCACATCGCCTAGTAATAATATATTCGTCACGCATACACATTATCGGGACGAAGTCTTGTAATCATCCTGGTGTCGAGCCATTTTTTGAATACGCGCTGCCTACAAACAATGAAGCTATAAGTATCCCAGACATACACTGAGATGTTGACGGTGATCTTCAAATCTCCTCAAGTAGAACTCGAACCATATTCTCCTAAAAAATATACCTTTTTCATTTTTATTCTCTCCTATTCACATTCTCTTTTTCTCAAAAGCAAGTAGGTCCCCTTTTTTTAACAAATACACTAATGGGTGCAACAATACGTTATCAATATTTACATTTACAATTATATTTTTCTAGATCTCTACATGCTATTTTTTCTTTCTTTCTAGAAATCCATCCTAAAGTCTATCCTGCTCTCATTGTGCATGTATCGTGATGCCGTAAAACCATCGCATATGATCATTTACCATCAGGGGTGCAGGAAATCGTAATCGTACGATCCAATCAGATTTGAAGATTCACTATAACCAACTGCCCAAAACTAAATATCTAATTGTAATATAATCGAATGCAAAATTTCAACATTCAAATTGAATCCGTCTGATATTGTAGGTAGTATAACATCCAAAACAACCAAATTAATCCATTTCCATATCCATCTATATATATATATATATATATATATATATATATATATTATAGTTAATAAAATCTTACAATATTATTTTATAAAAAATATATAATTCAATATTGTTTAAAAATAAAAAAAACTTAAAATAAAAAATAACAAAACCTTAAAAAAGTAAAATTTTCAAAATCGTAATACAAAACTATCAGCATTTTATTTCATTTTCTTATGACCATGTTAAAAGATCTTATTGGTATGAATGTGGATTTATTTTTATTTGATATCCGTATATAGTGTTTTTAATGATATTATACATATATTTATATATAGAGAGAGGGGGGAAAGTTCAAATGTAAACTCAATTTTTATTGTAAACGTGGGACTGATATCAGTTCAATTCTTTATTTTATTTGATCCAACAACTTACGTTAAATATAGTTTTTAATTAAAATGATTAAAGGTTAAAAAGACATTTAATTTCGCGCCTACCTTTTTTGACTTTTTAATTTTTTTAATTAATTTTTTTTACCTCTTTAAAAGTTTAAAATAAATTATCTCAAAAATTACTAATATTTTAATATAAAAAAATAGAATTGCATACTCTTCGATATGACATTCATCTTGATATAAATTTTTTTCTTGTTTTAACCCTTTTTTTACGTGAAATGGTATGTATATGTTATATTCGTTATGGATATTTATGTACGTTCAAGTAGTACAACAACTTGACACTGTAAGTCCGTAACTTGACATCACTTTCTTCAACACTTTCTTCAACGTCGTAAAGCACCATGCTCTTCATCACCGTAACCCATCACCCATCGAGACCGATCGAGAATGGTCGAGAATACAATCATTGATTTGGTATGTGTTTATGAGTTAAATCATAACTACCACCATCATTTTCATCGAGAACTTATCAGTTGATTATATTTTTGTGTGTGTAAAATCATAGACTATCACCTTCATCTTTTGTCGAGAAAGATTGGGAATCCATCGAGATCAATCAAGAACACATCGAGATTGATCGGCAACCCATTGGAACCGATCAACAACAATTGAGACTAATCAAGAACTCATCCGTTAACTTGGTGTGTGGTTGTTTGTGTAAAACCATAACCTACCACTTTTAACTTTTATTGAAATGGATCTGTAAATCTATCGAGATGAATCGGAAACTCATCCAGATCAATGAGAACTCAATAAAAGAAAAAGAAAGAAAAACTAAAGTATGTAGAGTTTAAAATGTGGTATATTCATGATGAATAATATGTACATGCATGATGAATACCATGGTGAAATTTAATGTTCACGATAAATATCATA